CCGAATGATTTAGGGCTGTAATTACAGCAGGATCCTCCATAAATTGAGCAATATTTGAGCGGGTAAATGATAGTTAAAATAGAGGTGATGCAAATTAAAGAGAGATGCTGCATCAAAACATTTCCATGTACGTAATGAATAAGATAAGGGTGATTTAAAAGGCTTCCTAACAAACTTTGAAACATTATTTTTACAAGTATCTGTCACAATCTGACACAAATTAATTGGAGAGCGCGTAAGAAAAAAAAAGGGCATGTACAATTTTGAAAAAACGACCAAACTATTTTAGCAAGGACTGTCACGACAATGTTTTCTTCAAAAACAGTCAATGATCTGACGGAAAGTATTATTCACTCTCGTCGACGATTGATTCATGTGCGAAGATTTACTGCTGCTCATGAAGTAAATGGCGAGGAAAACAATTGCAAGTAAATTCAAATTTTCTATTTTGAAGTTATAAGAGTTTGCTCGTTTGTTTGCTGCAATGGCGTGTGTAAATCTGGTCTTTCCTTCACACAAAATCTAAATTCGAATGAGACACTTCAACGAGACACAAGGGGATTTAATGCGTATATTTGTTGTAGAACTGAAAACTTCGCTCGTCCTTTTACAACGAACAAATTGTTTGAGAGAACTAGGATATTAAATGAATGAAGGTTCCATCGATTAATTCAATTTTGACCAAATACCTCACGTTTTAACTTTCTAAGTATTTTTTGTGAAGGATTGAAATTAATTACAGACAGGTTTTAGGCCGCTTATCAACCAATTTAATGGCACTTTAGCTTGTACAAATTAATTTCGAAACCAATATTTTTCTGTCAACCAAGGTGATTTGAGAGAGAGAAAAGAGAGGATTCATAAGTTAGTAATAGGTTTGAGTTAGTGACCGACGTCTTTCCTTAGAAATACTGCCTGTCGGGAAAAACGGATACGGACCGCGCAAAGAACCAATCAGATTGTAGGATACGTTACCGTGCCCTCTGAGAAAAAAATAAGGGAGAATTAATGAGAGGGAGATATGGAGAGCGAATCAGCATTTTACTCAAACGATGTGAGTGTTCCAACTCTAGCGAATGAATTTCGGATTTGTACATCACTCTTTTATAACCACTGATGGAATTGAACATGTAAAAATAACTTATTTCATTCCTTTTAACAGGGAACGTCAGGCTTCTGTGTCTATCCCATTGGAAGATTTTCATCCCAAGATCGATACCAGTAGAACCAAAGCTTCTTTCTTTGAACGGTAAGCTATATGTGCGCGATAATCAACTTTTCAGACTGATATGGAAAACCAATCCGTAGTTTACTCCACAGTGAATCTATTTCGGTTTTGCACATCACCCTTTTTCAGCTTCAGATGGATTTGAGCATGCAAAAATGAAACATTCATTTCCTCCTATCAGGGAACCTAAGGCTTCACGGTCCATCCCTTTGGAATGGTTTGATTTTCATCACAATGTCCTCGTGAACTTTTCGTTTTCTAGCGGGTGTGATTTTCACGATCCAAGACAAAACTACAAACGGTTATAAGATAATTGAGATAGTTCGCACGCTCTCATAGGTCACTGAAAGACAAACTAAAACCAGAAGTGAAGCTGATTCACGTATAGTCCGACCTATCAAACCTAAAGCTTTCGCGACTCCAGATTTACCGCACGAACGAGATGCTGTTGTTGTGTTCAAATCTATTCTGAAAAGAGACCACAGTCCAGAACAAACCAAATGCACCCCTTTATCGGGTGCGAATCATAATAAAAAAAACTCTGATAAAAGTTGGTTCAAAGCCAATGCAATAGGAGTTAACAAACTTAACAGTCTCATGAAAACAATAGCTGAAAAAGACGGTCTTGACAACTCTCACATTACGAACCACAGTGCGTGAAAACGAATGATTCAAACATTGAATGATAACGGTATTCCTTCTAATCATATATAATGCAGTTATCAGGACACAAAAATGTGCAGAGTACTTACAACTACAGTGTCATCTTTCACAAAAAACAGTGGAAAAGTATGTCAAGAATATTGAGTGGCCCGACTTCAATAGTTCAAACTGAAACACACTCTTGTCGAAACAACGTAACAACAAAGTCAAACGCCGACAGCAGCAGGGCTATTCGAGGGTGCTGTGCTTTACGGAAGAAATTTCAACATCAAGTCGTCCTCGTCTTCAACAGAAGCACATAAACTACAAACTTATGGAGGAATAACATGCATATTTGACTCTTCAGACGACGAAGACACTACATGAGTCCACCTTTGACATAGAAAGATTCAGCTTCGTTGAAAAGCTAAGTACTTAAGAACACTACTGAAACGAGTAGTTGTAAATAGAACCTGAAAAAAATTTCAGGCCCGTACGGGATTTGAACCCATGACCTCTGCGATACCGGTGCAGCGCTCTACCAATTGAGCTAACAAGCCAACTGGGAGCTGGTCAGTGAATTGGGTCCAAATAAACATCCAAGTGAATGAAGCTTTTAGATATATGAAAATTCACATATTTGCACTGCGGTGGAAATATGAAATTAGGAGATCCTCGCAGCTAAGAACACTACTGAAACGAGTAGTTGTAAATAGGACCTTTTTTCAGGTCACTGTCACTGATGGTCTTAACACATTTTGACGCCTTCCGCAATCTATTACTGTACAAACCCACAGCAATACAGTCTAATCTATTTGTTTTATGTGGTAATAAAGCAAAATGTTGTCAATAGTGACATCAACTAAATTGTATGCCTCTGTCCCACAATAGCTCATATAAAGTAAAAACCATTCAAAATGTGTGCATAATTCAGCTTATCATATAATTTCAAAGCTGACATTTTGAGTGTTAGCCCTTTGTCAGAGCAAAGAACTAACACTTGAAACTTCAGCTTTGAAACTCTTTATGGTGGCCAATTTACACTATTAACTCAGTTGATAATACTAAATTATCCTGTTATACTCCACCACCAATTCAGCACCACAGTTTCTTTACAAACTTACCCCCTTTATTAATTTATTATTATCATATAATAATTATATGATCTATGATGGATTCTGAAGGATTACAACTGTAAGATAATCTGCACATGCATACTTTTTTGCCCATCACCTCAAAAAAATTCATACAGAAAGTGGCTCAGGTTTTCAGCACTGGGTGACTGCCATTGTACTCAGTGGGACTTTTGTGTTAGATTCATAGGTTGTGATACAGTCATCATGGGGGATGTCACATATGGTGCTTGCTGTGTTGATGACTTCACTGCGAGGGCTCTTGGTTGTGATCTTATGGTTCATTATGGCTACAGCTGCTTGAGTAAGAGAAAAAAAATGTTGATAGACATCACCTAATCTTCTTCATCATAATGTAAACTCATATTATACCACAACTGAATCCTTTCAGCCTTGATCTTTTTCTTCTAACCTCCCAGTTTCACCTTTTGAAGTCCCCTTTGTCTCACCTTCTACTTCATAGTTCTCTCAAGTTGCCCTGTGTTTTTATTGCCCTTGCTCTCTGTTCTCTGCTGGTAGATATGTCTAAGTTTTGAATGATATTTTTTTTTGAGGAATCCTTGCTTTATAACTTTGATGCTTGAGCAACACAACAGTTCAATGTCAGTAGCATGGTATTTTGATGCAAACAATAGTGTTGCAATCAGTGGCTATGAATGTATGAAAAAAATTCAAGCCTGTACTGGATTCGAACCCATGACCTCTGTGATACCAATGCAGTGGTCTACCATTACTGAGCTAACAAACCAACTGGGAGCTGGTCATTATGTTGGTTCATAATAAAACCATGAAGTGATGAATCAATTTTTTTTTCTTTCCTTTTTTTAATTGTGACTTATTTATGTATATATTCACTCAAACTAGCACTGGTGTGCTAAACAATAAGCAAGTTCAAATAAAGCTTTATTACTACTCCAATGACCATGAAGATAATTGGTTGAAAGTTAGCACTTTCTTTTTATCAAATATGGTTATGAAGACTGAAAATGACACTTTATTAGACTAAGTTGTTTTGGTACAAGATATCCCTCATGAAATTCGACTCATTATATTTGCAACTTTTGGTCTCTTCTATTGATGCAAAATTGAAAGACCCTAAACAATTAGTAACCATATATACAGTACTGTAGGTAAGATAATGTGAAAAGGTTCATTATTTGTTCATTGTTTTATAGTTCCTATTGACTCAACTAAAGGAATCAAGATGTTATACAGCTATTTCAATTTACGTTGTCGGATCAAAGCCTCAAGCCTACAAGACAAGACGAGGAACCGCTTTTAAGCAATAGGAGTCATATCTGTTCTTGTTGCTCTTTGTTAAGACACGCAAGGCAATACTAATTGTATTTTCAGCCTCCATGTCCATCTCGCGCCAACAACCCCAAAAGCCTAAAATTAATTCTAATCTACCCATACCGCCTTTCGGTCTTGTCCCGTACCCTTGAAGCTTTGATCCGACAACGTAAATTGAAATAGCTGTATGTATTTGTGGACATAAAGCTGGATGCCACACATTTTGTCAACACAGTCAGACACAATTTTGAAGCCGGAAAGTCACTTGCACTTTTGAGCACAATCCAGTTTGTGACAACACTTCAAGTATGTATTAAATGATTACACTGATGGGACAGTATCGGGATCATGTTTATTGTAGGTACAGTACTCTCGAATGAATATATTGGTTGAGAGTTGGTCGATACTTAACCAATATATTGGTTGACAGTCGGTCGACAGTCGGTTGACTGAGTGCTTCTTCTGGATGGGAGGAGCATCTCACATGGTTCTCAGGCATCAGGCATTTTGTCAAGTTTCCATGACAACTCACTGGTACCCATTTCTCTCCAAGCTAGAGAGAGGGGAGAGAGAATGCAACACTGACTTGGCTGAGACTTAAACCCTGTGGTTTGGACCCAGTGTCTCCTTTTATTGTGTTCATACTTTCAAATAATTTTTACATATATGTATTTAATTTGTTGTTTACCCAGGCTGTATATCAAGACCTGTGTAAAGATTATCAGGTAGAGATTCCGCAGTGTAAACCATTGTCACCTGGAGAGATTCTGGGCTGCACTGCTTCTAGAATAAAACACAAGGATGCATTCATGTAAGAAAATTATTAAGCAAAACAAGGAAATAATTATGTAATTTAGTTCATTATGAATTTAAGAAAACTGCACCAACTCTTTCATAGAAAGTATTCTTAAACAAATTGAATATTCTTTTGAAAATCTTTCTTATTATTTGTATTGGCAAATCTAGTTGTAAGTACTGTAGTGGTTTAGTTTCATTAAAAATTTGCACCATTAGATCTGAAGCTATTTGCTTATAAATAATAATAATACAATTATTTTGATGTTAGTGTGGAGAATTTGGTACTGGATGAACTACAACTACCCTAATTGATATTTTCCTTTAGTTCATCACTTGTCTGCTTGATATTGTATTGATATTGTAAGGAGAAATTCTCTCTTGGTCACTCATAGGAGTGAAAGGGTTAATCATTTAATTGGGTGGAAATTGAGTAAAAGTGTTATCAAAAACTAAATTAGGAAACAGATAAGTGGGTGTTATGTTTTTGATTAATGTGTTATTATTGCAATTATTCCTAATTAAATGCTTGTTTTGTCACTGTATTTACCATTTTGATTATAAGCAGCAGCTATCATTTAGGCACATGCCACCGACCACAGCAGGTACTTGTTTCAATTTTTTCACTGGAATGATCTTTAAACTTAAACTTTTTTTTAGTTACTTAGGTGATGGAAGGTTCCATCTAGAGGCTGTCATGATTGCTAACCCATCTACACCAGCATACATGTACACGTAGAGAACCTCAAAAGGCAGATTTCTTTACGTGTACCAAATAGCCTTGCCTTGCATAACACGTAGCTTCATATTATTTCAGGCAGCACAGATTGAGCCATCATTGAAGCCTGATTTTTCAGATCTCTTTCGTGTAATTCTGTGAATAAAAATTCATCACTTTTTCGATTAAAAAATTCTTTGTCTCTAGTAAAGGCATACTTACTGTGTAGACAGAGTGCGATGCCCGTCTTTTCCAGTGTTTTCCCTATGCCCTCACTAAAACAGACCCCCTACCGCCTTGTACGCTTTGGATTGTTAGATATTGTATACCTTTCTGGGCCTTTGAGACACACAACTTTGAACTAAAATTCTACTGCACTTTCGCTTTCATCGCAGATACGATCCCTACAGCAAAGTGTTTTCCAGGGAATATTACGATATTGATGCCATGTTTCAAGCGAGGAAAGACGCCATAACTGCAGCATCAAGAGCTAAGAAATTTGGACTCATTCTAAGTACATTAGGAGGGCAACGAAGTCTAAGGGTGCTAGAGGTATTGCATACAGCTAAATGTGAAAATTTTATGAGTAAATATACTTTTTGAACGGAGTTCTACTTTGTGTGATTCAAAATTAAACCTTCAGTTGTGCGTTGAAAGTAATCGGCTATCAGTTCGCCATGTCATGGGTTGACTGACGTGAACAATCCAAGCTACCCTCTCAACCAATCAGGTGCAAGGCAAATACCAATCGTGACTCGGTCAATAATGTTGCTCTCACTGTACCTTTTAATTTTAGTTCCCATCGGGTTTTGATTATATTTTCCAACGTAGTGATTGGCCATCTGCTGGTGACTACTATGTTTTTGGTATTACGGCACACTATCGAAATGCACTTTAAGACATGACTCAAAATCTCTGGACAAAATCAATTCATTCTCGCATCTAAATATAAGTTTTTCTGATGCAATTAACTTTGGGGAAGGCTGCAAATTTAAATTTAAATTCTCCAGTTTTCTTACGATGTAATGTGTGGAATATTTTCGTCTATGCAGAAGAATCTCTATTTTTTGGGCATCCTTATTTAAACGTTTTCTCTACTTGAGGGACACAAACTTTGATTAAAACCCTTGTATTCGATGCCGTCATTGAGGGGACACCCCTAGTTCAGGGGTATTTTGCTCGTGACGGTTATTATTCATGTTATCATCTTTTCCCAAGAGTTCATAAAGCAGATTTCATGAATCCTTTCATCTTTTAATTTTATTGCAGAAGTTAGAAGAACGATTCAGCAAGGCGGGCCTGGAATATGTAATTGTACTCATGTACGTCTGAAATATTTCCGGGTAAACTTGGATTGTTCGAGGACGTGGAAGCGTAAGTTGCTTTTCTTTTTTAAGATGTGAAAACTGCTTTCCGTCGATAAGATAAGATAAGATAAGATAAGAACCGTCTTCACATAAATTCTGTTTTGTCAATTGTCCTCAACAAAAATCGCATAATCAGGGCGTGAAATTGCGCCCAATACAGGCGCCAATGCGACTAAATTTTTTCACTTTTGTGACCAAATCCTGATCTGTGATCTTTGATTAAAATCCTAAGAGGGCACAAAAGACTAGAAATAGAACGGCACTAGATACTAACGAAACAATGGATGAAAACACTAGCATACTAAGCTACAGGAGAGACTAACGTAACAATCGAATATAAGGCGGTCCTAAGACTGCGCGAGACAGTTACGAGATAGGTAATGCGCGGAGATGCTGTCGTAACAATGTAATCAAAGAACATCCTAAAACTGCCTGAGATACCGAAGTAACAATCAACTGAAAGAGAAACTTAAAGAGAAAACAGAGATAGAAGCTAAAAAATTAGCTACTAACATAACAATCCAATCTAAGAAAATCCTAAAAATGCGCGAGACACTAACGTAACTTTCCAAAGAAGGAATATCCCGAAAGTGGGCAAAACACGAACCAAACAATCAAAAGTGCAAAAGGGCACGAAGCAGTAGTGAATGAAAGGGAATCCTTAAACGGCACAAGATACAAATGCAACAATCAAATGATAAAGAATCTTTAAAGAGTGCGAGATACTAACATAACAATCCGATGAAAGAAAATCCTAAAAGTGTGCAAGATATTAACGTTAAAATTAAATGAAAGAAAATCCTAAAAGTGCACGAGGTGCTGTGACAAAATCCAATAAAAGAGAATTCTTAAGGTGAGCGAGATACTAACGTAACAGTCCAATGAAGGATAATTCTTAAAGTGCGCGAGGTACTAACGTAATAATCTACAAAATGGAATTCTAAAAGCGCGCGAAGTACTCACGTAATAATCTACAAAATGGAATTCTAAAAGCGTGCGAGGTACTAACGTAACAATCTAACGAATGAGAATTCTTAAAGTGCGCGAGGTACTCACGTAATAATCTACAAAATGGAATTCTAAAAGCGTGCGAGGTACTAACGTAATAATTTACAAAATGGAATTCTAAAAGCGTGCGAGGTACTAACGTAACAATCTAACGAATTAGAATTCTTTAAGTGCGCGAGGTACTAACGTAATAATCTACAAAATGGAATTCTAAAAGCGCGCGAGGTACTAACGTAATAATCTACAAAATGGAATTCTAAAAGCGCGTATGGTACCAACGTAACAATCCGAAAAAAAGAGAATCCTAAAAGTGTCCAGGATACCTGGGTAGTAATCGATTGAAAGAAAAGCTTTTAGTCTGCGAGATACCAACCAACACAATTGAAAGAAAGAGAAATTATAAGATAGCGCGCGTGCATGCACTCTACAATTCCTGTTAAGCCGCTATGAACAAAATCTTTATTTACGCACGCCCGTGCGTAAATAAGATGACGTGATCAATTTTTTTCTACCTGGCTTTCCGTCCTGTTAAACTGCAGTGCAGTTTTCCTTCTCTTTGAAATATGGAAGAAACCAGCGAAGAAACCAGCGAAGAACTTCCCAATAAAAGGCTTCTTCGCGCAGATCCTTGTTGTCGCTCTGTTATAAAAGAATTTGCTCATGCTTTAAGCTGGGCGTATATCGAGTTATGGATGCACTTGGGAAGTTTGAAGGGCACTCAAAAAAGAGCACTCTAGCACTCAAAAAGCCAGAGTTGCTCTCGGCTGCGCCTCGAGCTACCCTTCCGCATTTTTCTTGCTCTCCAAACTTCCCGCGTGCATCCATAACTCGATATACGCACGTTAAGCATCAACAATTTCTTAACTTAAATGGCCCGTGATAAAAATATAGCAATCGATAATAAGAGCAGCCTAAAAGTGTGAAAGATGCTAAAGTAGCAATCCAATCGAAGACAATGCTGAAAATGCGCATGACAATATCGTAGCTCTTGAATGAAAGAGAATCCTGAAAGTGGGCAAGACACTAACCTTAGTTAGTTGATCAGATAGCCGAATGAAAAAGAAAAACCAGAAGATAGGTCTCGGTCTCTCTTGCTTAAGCGAGTGTTCTAAAGCCAGCCCTCAAAAGTTGGTCGTGTTACATTGCATCTCCTTGCGGGCATCGGCATGTCGCAGTACTATAAGTGGTTCTATAAGAAGCGTGACTTTTCCATGTTTTCTTTGTTTTTCCCTCTCATGGAACTCGCTGTACTCGCTGTAAATTTTGTTGAACTTTCACCTTCACATAAGAGTGAAATATTAGGGTTAGGAAATTTCGAAAAACGTTTCCAGTTTGAGTAAAATTAAAGTTTAGTCAGAAGTGCTTTTAAGGATTGAAGTTAGAAATATGAAAAGAGAGAGATTCAATCGACTTTTTGGTACGGGATGTGACTTTTTCTCTCCTTTGTTGTCTCTCAAAGGAACTCTTCGTGCTGCCAAAGAAGGTTTTTAGAGTTTCACGCTTTACAAACAAGAACTACACTCTCTTCCGAAACTTACCAAAACGTGGCCAAAAAATTTAAGCTGCTAGGATATCCACGCCTCAAAACAATGGTGAAATATTCATGTGCACGCACAAAAAAAAGTCAACATCAATGACTTTTGTTTCAGAAACTCAATATGCGAGTTTTACTTTTTTTTCAGCCACTTTCTCCAACGGAGGCGATGCAACTATGTCATCTGAATATAAAAGCGAACGAGTGTAACAATCGAAAACCGAGCTTTACCCAATTTTGACCCCATATTACTAATTGTTTGTTTCCGAGTATCTTTGAAGATCGACACACTTAAGAAAGATGAGTGTCAGTCTTTTTCTGTGCCAAAAACAGAACCCTCAGATATGATTTTCTTAGCGGTTGCTGTGACGCTACCTTCAAAATTACTTCATCATGGTCTCTCGCCTGCGGTTGATAAAAAGAAAATGAAACAAACTTTAACTTTTCCTTGTAGAGGAAACGAATGTTATCGGTGAATCTTAGAAACTTGGGGAAAAATAACTCTTACCTTTAATTTGAAGAGAGAATTTTATGGATGAAATTAGCGATGAGTTTTTAACAACCTGTCGTGATACTACAGACATGAAAGGAGACAATACATAATTCACCAAAGCCTTTCGCTCCATAAAAAAAAACTTTTTGTAACAGAAAAATGTAGGGTGGAGTCGAAGCACCACAGAAACTTAGAAGAAAAATCTTGCCTTTGAAGAGAGTATTTAAATATTTGAGTGCTAATATGCGTTTGAGTTTGAAGCACTCCCTGTAAAAGTTTGCAATATAATATACTTGAGTAAGCACTTAAAAAATAATACGTCACTGACAATACACGCTTCGTTCGTTCACTGGTTATACGAAAGGGAAAACTTTCTTCAGCCATTACTTTGCAAGATGGAAATCAAATATCAAATATTAATTTAACATATGACCCTTGTGGACTCACGCGCGCTTTTATTGAAAAAGAGAATGGTGTTTAAATTACGACTACGGATAACAAAGCTGCGTGATAATCTTCAGAACAAGTAAAAAAGGACAAGAAAAGTTGCTAGATTAACGCGTTTAAAAGCCTTTAAAAAAATGGCACCGATAACCTTTAAAAGTCCAAATTTGTGGGTGGAAAGCTAACTTCCACAAGTCTTTGATGTATTCCTTTCGATATGGCAATCGCTGTATGTGATGGTCGCCCTCACTGTCAGTCTCTGGAATATCATCAAGGACAGGAAGGGAAGAGCCAAAACTTTCCAAACGAATTTAAGCAGAATGGAGCCCAACTTCTTGAATGTTTGTCCCGTCACTAAAAGATTATTAACTTCATGCAAATGGCTGTCAAAAGATGCAGTTGATTGTTATTTCAAATGCAAATCGCGCTAATAAATGTTTTGTCTACAAATATGATTGCCCTGTATTTCGAAGTACAGTTTGATTGTCTTTTATCTGATGAAAATATAATTTCAACTAATAAATACTGAGAGGGTACTGTTTGTTTTGAAACAATGTTGAATGTCGTTTAAATTGCCAATATCGTTCTGCTATTTCTATCGCGCGTTTTTTTTCCGTCTAAATGAAAGTTATGCGAAAGAATAGCAAAAGATGTATTATTAACATTTCCTTAATTCTTATCGGGCCATAACTGACTGATATACAGCTGCTCAGTGATTGAAAATATCCGCCCATAAGATCGTTATTTAAATACAACCTCAAGTATGTTTATAGATGTCCAAATGGATAACAGACCTAGATTTGTGAGAGACTTCAAGCTTCTATTACAGAAATAATAAAGAAATCCAACTCAAAACACTATTTTTTTATTCAACTTAAGCGGGCTAAAGTACCTACAATCGATCTTGTAGCAATCTATTGCGCAACCATCAGGTCCTGCCTAGACTACGCCTGCCCAGTGTTCCACCATGCACTTCCGAAATATCTACAAGTCGATCTGGAGAGAGTGCAGAAAAGAGCCCTCGCATGCATCTTCCCTGGAGCATCATACAAAGAAGCCCTCGATCAAGCAAACATCCCAAGCTTGAGAACCCATCAAGAACAGTTGACATCGACACTTTTCCGATCAGTTTTAGAAAACAAAAACAACAAAATTCATTCTTTAATCCCAAAAAGTTATCAGGCTAATTACAATTTTAGGAAACAGAGGAGTTTCAATCTTAATCGTTGTAAGACCGACAGAGCGGCAACAAGTTTCATAAATATGTGTTGCAGAAACAGTTTGTACAATTAATTAATGTGAAGTTACGCAATTCAGTTTTATCTGCAATGTAATTTTAATAAAACACAGTCTATCTATCTGACTTCGGTCTCTTAAATTTGTTTTTGTGCAATAAAAGTCAAAGCATGAAATGCTTCGAGTCTGCGTCAAATATTACTCGGTGCTCGGCCTGACACGTTTATTTAATTTGAATTGACAGGTTTGGTTGGTTTTCCCTTGTTACTTGCTTATTTTCTCTCGCCGGATATATCAAGTGGTTTTTAAGTCGCAGCTTACGGATAAACCGTGAACTCAGAACGTGAACGCAGAACATGAACTCAGAACATGAACGCAGATCATGAACGCAGAACGTGAACTCAGAACGTGACCTCAAAACGTGAACGCAGAGCGTGAACTCAGAACGTGAACTCAGAACGCGAACTCAGGACATAAACCCAGAACGTGAACTCAGAACCTGAACTCGGAACGTGAACTCAGAACATGGACTGGGAGCCTGAACTTGAACTTGAACTGAGAGCCGAAACTGAGAGCCTGGTCTGAGAACTTGAACTGAGAGCCTGAACTGCGAGTATGAACGGCAAGCCTGAACTGTGGGCCTAAACTGCGAGCCTGAACTGCGAGCCTGAACTGCGAGCCTGAACTGCGAGCCTGAACTGCGAGCCTGAACTGCGAGCCTGAACTGCGATCCAAAAGTGTGCAAGATACTTATGTTAAAATCCAATGAAAGAGAATCCTAAAAGTGCGCAAGATACTAACGTAGCAATCCAATGAAAGAGAATCCTAAAAGTGCACGAGGAACTAACGTAACAATCCAATGAAAGAGAATTCTTATAGTGTGCAAGGTACTGACGTAACAATCCAAAGAAGGGAATTTTAAAAGCGCTCAAGATACCAAAGCAACAACTCAAGGAAAGATAATCCTAAAAGTACACGAGAAACTAACGAAATAATACAATGAAAGATAATTTTTAAAGTGTGCAAGGTGGTAAGGTAACAATCCAAAAAGGGAATTTTGAAAGCGCGCGAGGTACTAACGTAACCATCAGAAAAGAGAGAATTCTAAAAGTGTACAAGTTACTAACGTAGCAATCTAATTTAAGACAATCCTAAACATGTGGGAGGCACTAACTTAACTTTTGAATGAAGGAGTATTATGAAAGTGGTCAAAACACTAACCTACTAATCAATTAAAAAATAATTCTAAAAGTGCGCGAGTAACTGACGTATTAATCGAATGAAAGAAAAAGTGCGCAAGATACTAATGTAAGAAACCAATGAAAGAGAATACTAAAAGTGCGCAAGATGCTAAATAAAGTAATCATCCAATAAAATATCTTAAAAGAGCACAAGACACTAACGCAACAACCTGACGAAAGATAATTTGTAAAAGTGGCAAGATGCTAACGTAATAATCCAATAAAACAGAATCCTAAAAGTGCATAGGATACTAACGTAACTTTTAAATGAGGAAGTATCCTGAAGTGGTCAAAACACAAACCTAACAATCAACTAAAAGATAATCCTATAAATGCGCGAGAAACTGACGTACTAATCGAACGATAGAAAATTCCTTTAAGTGTGTCAGGTACTAACGTAACAATCAGTGAAAGAGAATTCTAAAAGTGTGCGAGATACTAACGTACTAATCCAATCAAAGAAAATCCTAAAAGAGCGCGAGATACTCACCTAACAATCGAATGAGAGAGAATTCTAAATCCCAGATCCCACACGCCTTCGCGCAATCACGAGTATCCGATTAGCAGCAACTCATTGAATACGTATGAGGTTTACATACTGATTTGCTAAAGTTACGAGTATAACACGAAGAAGCCCTGGTCACAGGAAAAAATTAAATGAAAATGAAACAAATTTAGAAACCTTTGAAATCCACGCACGTGAAGTAAGATGTGGAATTGTGAACATTATGCAAGCTCTTTTGAGTCCAAATTAAAAAAGTATTTGCTGACCTGTGAAAGCGGGATTTCTGTTTTCTGTTTCTTTTGCACATTTAACCGAAATAACGTTTTTGGCTGTAAGATTTATACTGACTGCATCCAAATTACCCAGATCACCCTCCAGATAGGCCCCTGGTTCTTCTAACAGATCTGCCACAGCGCCATCATTGACTGTTTGCTCAAATGAAAATTTGATAAACCTTAACACTGTTACGGTATAATCTAACCAACAGAAAAGCACTACAATCCAACAACCTCAACTATTTTATCAAACAGCGAGTAATGTTGTTCTTAATAAGGAGCGACTCCTGAAGCAGCACAATGCTTATCGTTAATAAACTTAATTGAGCCCAACACCCCACAAAGTCTATACCCTAGCTCACCATTGACACAATCTCACTGCTGTCTCCAAAGTTCCTTTCGCCCAGCGGTTGATCGACAGAGGATCTGCAAGCGGCCCTGTACGCATCCATGAATATATTTTTTGAATGAGCGGGAAATTTATGGCCTTTTTCAAGAGTCTGAGACATGAAATTCGAAAGCTGTTGAACTGTTGAAAGACAGAAACTTTGAGAAATGTCCATCTATTATTCAACACTAACACAAGCAAAGCATTTTGACATATTTCACCGAAAGTACTGGCTTAGCTCATCTGAACTGGGAGCCTCATGGCTGAGCTCGGTGCAGAAATGTTCCAGATGTAATCGACCCAGCCCGTTTGCTGGCCTGTAGAGCTGTATGTTGCTCGCACTAATCAGATCACCAATCAAATTGCATTTCGGCAAATTAGATTTCGCTTCATCACGAGTCATTTCCTTGTCAACAAAGTGTATTTTATCGTGTATTCTAACTGCATAATGCAAAATGAAATCCTAAAACTACTAAGAAGAATTCACGTGGCACCAATTGCAACTGTTAGTGAATTATTCACACAATTCAAAGGAAGTTTTGACGTTTTCAAAAATAACTCCTGCTTCCGCAATATGCCTGTTTTTCATTTTGAGCGCTTTCGCCTACGATCTTTACTACTTTACTCTCTCGGATTATGGATTCTTTTTTTTTTTCTTTTTTTCTTTCTGTTTTTCATTCATTAATAAATTCGACCTTTCCTAACAGTGAAGGCCTATCGTGTTTATATAATAAACAAAAGTTAATAATACATGGTTCCCTGACATGCCACAGGCTGTGATATCAGGCAATCTCTCCCTGTATGCTGACGATACCACAGTTCACTGCATTGGATCTACCGTTGATAAAGCATGTAATCAACTAAATAACGCACTTGACGAGCTTAACAAATGGTGCATGACTAACTCGTTAACAAATGGTGCATAACTAACTCGTTAACACCACACTCTTCAAAATTCGAAGTAACGTTGTTACACCGGGGAGCCTTCATCGGTCCATACTCTTTGATTATTATTGGTAACGTTGACGTTGCGTGAGTATGTCACGCAAGGCTGTTGGGTATTACCGCTGATAACGTTAACGTCGCAGAGGTATGTCACGCAAGGCTACTGGGTATCACTGTAGACTGAAAACTTACTCTCACGAAACATCTTACAGAATTAAGAACTTTGTCACTAAATTGAATTTATTTAAAAATTGCTCTTTCCCAGAGAGGAAATCTTTCCTTGACCTATATTTTCAGGTGATTCTCACTTCTGTGACAGACGACATCACTGTCTGGGGAAACTGTAACAACCAGATCACGTTAACTCCCAGCGTGAACTACACTGTCGCTGTAGGGATAAATTTCAATTTGCCACGGGATACACTTTCAGAAGCAGTTATGGAACTCACTCAATGGCACTCGATTTATGATCTGTATAAACTAAGCCTTATTAAACTATTTTACAACATAGTTAGCGATAATATACCTCCATTTATTCCAGATTGGCTGTATGATGCAACAGTCCGCATAACTTGGGAGGACATAACAAAGCCGTTGTTCTGCGATTTTCGGCCTATTTTATGAAAAATTATATTCGTTATAACGGCGCTGTATAGTGGAGTTTTGTCTCATACTAAGACTCTTGAGTTTTTTTAGGAAATTTTATAGAAATGTGAAAACTGATCCTGAATTTAAGGAAATCAGATTGACCAGCTTATTCGCACAGTCGGCAGCAAACATTTCCGATGTTTAATTACTTTAATTACTTCTAAGTCTGCTCATTCATTTCATATATTTTATCCACTTTTAATCGTAGGTTACTTGAGTATTAGCTATTTACACACGACCCCTCAAGCATGTAATACCTTCAATCTAATCGTGTTCAAATAAAGGATCTTACTTACTTACTGGGGAACGTCCCGACATTAATTCAATATGTTTGTCTTCTCACTTTCAGAAGCATCAGCCACGAAGTCTACATCTTGTGCGATTAATAATCTTTCATACCGCCCAGTTTTCCATCACTGAAATGACTGAGTAACTCAAGAGAAATAATGCTCTTTTGGAAATGCCCAAGCTTTTTCGAACTTCATGTTTGCACTTTGTAGTAATATGTCATTCGAATGACACTCCGCGAAAGAACCGCCACTACGGTGAAATAAATTTAGAGCGCTCTTTTCAAACCTTTGTAGCATTATACCACTTATTTTATCCACTAAGTAAAGATATAGGCTCTGAGGGGAAAACCCGCTTACTCGTTTTTCGATCTTTATGCTTACACACTATGTTGTTTCGTAACGTCAAGAAAGAATCGTTCTAAAACGACTTTTGTACCATTGTACAAAAGGTACACTCACTCTTGATATATTGAGTTAAACACTCCTGCAGACTTTTCATACCTACACGCGCCAATGTATTAATCTCTAGTAACAACCACAATCTCTCGCTGTGTCAATTAACTAAGGCAGCGATTTCTCTGATTTCAGCAAATAATTTTACATGTTACGAAAAGTCATTACAGAACGCCATGTTACTTCCCCATGCTCCAATGCTGTTCAGCTGACTTTTGATTAAAGTATCCCTGGTGGAGATACCCAGCACAACACA